CTGCCGGGGATTCCCATGATGCATTAGACATGTACGTTAGTTTAACTGATGCATCTGTATGTCTCCGTCTCTCAGTTAATTGTAGTATGTTTATTTCTTTCTTTTGCAATAAACAGACAGTACCTATGGAACATTTAAATTAGCTCACCATTTTACATTTACATCTCTACTTGAAGCTGCTGTCAGAATGCAGCACAATCTCTGCCTTTGAATGACTGAGAAGCTATTTGGGTATAACCATCAACACATTTTGCTTTTAATGACCATGAGCCTGTCAGAAAGCTTCACCTGGAACCAAATGAATAAAGCCTTTTGTTTTTAACTCATGTTGTTCTGCAGCAGCTCTATGAGGCTCTTGTTGTAATCGGCCACCTGCTGGGAGACGCTCTTGGCAACTGAGGCGTAGTCGCTCTCCTGGGATTTGGAGGCGATGACTGACGCTGCAGTTAAGGAAAAATCACTGAGCTCACAGACCTGGTGTCTCAGAGACCAGAGGTTTATAGAAGACAAACCGAGAGCTGGAAAATAAAATTAAATGTATGCACACATCTGACAAGTACTGCTCCTTTAATTACCTCCAAAAGCTACCAAAGCTGTAAAGAACTGGTCCCAGTGTTTAAAAATCTCACTTTCTCTGGATGCTGGAGACTGAATAGAGGGCTTCTAGTGTGGATGAATTCATACGTCATATTTCTAAAGGATACATTCTTTCATCACAAAGTTGTTCTGCTCCAGGTGCTGCCATTTCCTCTCCAGGTTAGCCAGCTAACGTTCAGACACATAAAGCAACACAAAACACAAGACTGCTGTGAGCTGAAGACGGGAAGGCAGGTGGTGAGGAGCGAGCTGAGTCAGAAGATTCAGTCTGTTTCCTGTGTACCAAAACACGACTAACCTGAGCGTGAGTCTCATTTTCCTGCAGTCTGGTCTTCAGCGCTTCATGTTTCTGGTTCATCTCCTCCAGCAGCTGTCCAAATGCATCTCGACGCTGAGTCAGCGACACCTGCTCCTCCTGCAGCCTCTGCAGCACAAGGAGAGAAAACAAAGTATAGTCAGTTCATTTTTTAAAACGGAGTCCATTATTGATCTCCAGTATGGAAGCTCTCGGGGACAGTGGTGAGAAAGAACTGCCTTTTAACAGGAAGAGACCTTCAGCACAAAGAGTTTGCAGTTACCTTCTTCCTCTCCTCAGCTGTGAGCCTGAGGGTGTCCAGGTCCCTGTAGGTATGCAGCTCAGCCTGCATGGTGCTGACACGCTCCTGCAGGGTGCTCAGCTCACCTGTGATCTTCCCCTCCAGCTGCTGCACCTTCTCCAGGTCCTGCTGCAGGCGCTGGGACTCTGTGCAGGGGCAGAGAAGGGCCTTTGTTCAGTGCTCGTGTTGTCGGGACGTAAATGTTCCAGACTTTAAGGTTAGAAATAAATTTAGAAGTGAGGGAAACCCGACTGTGTGCGTGTCACCCACCTGTCGTCAGTCCTCTAGCGGTGCTCTCTGACTGGACCACCTCGGTCTCCTTGCTTACCAGCACTTCCTGCATGTCCCTCAGCTCACTGGCTGTCACTGTATCCACCTGACGGAGCCGCAACATGTTCTACAAAGACATGCACAGTTAGTGCAGTGGACCACGCTGTGTTTGTCCTCCCATTTCATCAGTGCTCCTCACCCTGCTGCAGTGCTCCAGGAGTGAGACAATGTTCTCCTGGCCCTGCTTTAGTCTCTCCTCCTCCTGAGCCCTGGACTCCTCAAATGACTCGAGGAACCCTGAGAAGAGGACAGAGGTTATATCCATGCGCTGCTAGTAGACAGTAGGTTCCCTCTAGTTCCTCCTGACAGTGGAAATCAAACTACTGTGTTTTGGTGACTAACTGTCATCAATTAGGCTTCATGCTTTCACATGCAGTGTTTGCATCAGCCCCCACATTCCCAAATGTGGGATCATCAGTGTTGGTTATACAGATGAACAAATACATGCCTGTCAGCCTGCATCTGCTCAACTACTCTGCCCCACAGTCCAAGACATCAAGATGCAGTTTGTGTGTCTGTCAGTCGCCTGTGACACTGACCGACTGACCGTCTCCTCTCAGTCGCTCCGCTAACTGTTGTATGTGTTCATTTTTTTCTTTTGCAATAAACGGACACAGTACGTAGGAAATGTTCTCGAAACACCTTAACTTTAAATGAGCTCGACTATGCTGCCGATGTCACAAGTGTTCGGTTCGACTGGGACTCACGGTCGATCTCCTCTTCCTTCCTCTTCAGCTCTCTGTATTTTTGTTGACATTCGCCTGTAGGAATGTTCAGAATATTGAAATCACATCAAAGGTGATTCAGGTTTAGAGTCCACCCTCATCCTGTGGGTTACCCTGAGCTGCTTCTGAGTCCTGCTCCAGGTGTCGGATCTCCTCTGTGATTTGTCTTCTCCTGTCCCGTATCTCCGTAAGCCTGAGTACACACAATATACACATATTCTTACACGCACACACAGAAGTGACGAGTATCTAAGTACTTGTAATGAGTACATACTGCCTCTCCATGCTGGCAATTTCCTGGTTGTCCTCTTTCACCTGGAGAACAGAAGCACAGCTTCAGTCTTTGGTTTTTCACGTCTGCTAACATCAAGCTTCAGGAGCTCTGCTCACTGCTGTTTACAATCCATTCATCAGTTTGACCACATGATGGTGCTGTTGACTCTCTGAATCAATGCACACGTTTAGGATGAAGAACAGCCCTACTGCACATTAGCACAGTAGCCTGGGTTAGCATTAGATCATCTAAACTTCAGTGTTATTAAGTTTACTTAATCAGAGAACATCGGAGAACAAAATAAAGTACCAGGACCCAAATGTCGCAGCTATAGTTGCTTTTTAATGCTGAAAGAGGGTTTTTGCCGTGCAGACCCTGAATGTGTGGAGGCAGTGAACGCTGAGGAACCGAATTCCTCAACATGACTAAAACTACTCAACCAGACTGAAACTGAATCCATGTGATATCCTTGTAAAAGCCTGTTTCAGGAACACAAACAAATCGATTTCCTGTTTGTAAAAGTTTCTGTGATATTTCATCAAATCCCTCCCGTCCTCTGATGTAGCAATGACCAGCGCGCACACCTGCTTAAATAACTTCTCTCTCTCTTCCTGGGGTGAACCCAGGCTCTTCTGCTCCGCCTCCATCGTGTCTCGTTTGGCCTCCAGCGCTGACAAGGTCTCATGAAGCCGAACCATCTCCTGCTTTATCTGAGAGTGGGACAGCTCCTGCAACGAGGATCGTTCACGTAAAACACCCGCAGCCACGCTGTTCCTCCACCTCGCTCACACCGCCCCCTCCACCCGACTCACTGCTTCATAGTCCTCCTTCCTCGTTATTAGCACGTCCAGCTCCTCCTGGAGAACAGTCAGCTCCTGCAAAACAAAAGAATCAGCTGAGTACTTGCCAGAGTGAGATTTCATCATGCCTGCTGACATGAACCAATCTCCTCTTTCCCCATAACAACTACAGCTTCACCTGCAGCAGTTCCTCATTAGTGGTTGTCATGGTGAAATATTTCTCTTGCTTTGCTGCCGGCATTGCTTGGACGACTTCATCAGCAACGCGCCGCTCTCTCCTGATCTCCTCCTCGATGGCCCTGATTGCCTCCTCTCTCCTGCAGAGCAAACAGAGTGGACAGAGTGCACGCAGACAGATAAAGGAAGCCAAAGAGTTTACAGGTCAATAACAGCCCACATCAGCTGACACGCTTCTACACATCAGCTAACATCGGGTCAGGCTATCTAAGCTGCTTAAGTTGTGGCACATGCACAAGCTGCTTTGCAACCCACCTCCTCGGGTTCCTCTGAGTCTACGGAGGCCCTGACTGAACACTGCACAAGCAAAACGTTCCACATGAAAAATAAGGCAAAGCAGACGAAGAACCTAAAAAACTGTTGTTGTTTCTTAAATTAATTTTCATTCTTTACTACACCAACCAACGACAAACGGAGACAGAATCAAGCAGCGGTGGTCAAAGCTTCCTCCTGTTTCCTGCTCAGCTACATCACAGGACTGAAGCATAACTATGATGTGAAGCCGGCCGCATCAGTGAAGCCTCTTTCTCTGAGATATTTTAACATAAAAACACAAATGCAATTCAATAATACATCTCAGTGTCTTTGCACTTAAACTGTAAGAAACAAATAAGCTTTCTTTTTAATTTTGGGGCCTTTTCAGCCCTTATTCCATAGAGACATGAGTGTGTGGGGGGGGACATGCAGCTTAGTGCGGCTCGGACTCAAACCCGGGCCTACCGCTCTCCGGCCACACGGCGTATGACCTCCTGATCATCCCACTGAGCTAAACCATAAATAAGTTAAATTAGGTTCTGTGTTGTGCAGACTGTCCTGTAATTCAACAATGAACATTTTTGTCCTTTTTCTGTTTCTGGTGAATCGAACATAAGAACGATACATTTCTATAGCAGCCAGCGAAAAACGAGGAACTTTCTGCCGTTTATTGCTTTATCTACGACTTATTTACTTTGGTACAGTACGTGGTCATGGAGCCCGTCCCCACCGTAGAAGATTTATGCCCTCCTTCACATTTTCCACAGTGGGCCAGACTGAAGACTTTGGAGGGCTGATCCTGGCCCATGGGCCTTATGTTTGACACCCCTGCTGTGGGACTGGTGGAGGAAGACTACAGCACCAAACTCTTGAATATTCACATCATATGGTTACACTTGAACCTGACCCCTGTGATGTAGATCAGCTCCTCCAGTCTCAACATTCCCTCCTCTGTGCTGAAACCCGACTTTCCCAGAGACGGTGCAGTCGGGCTGCAATGCAGCTCCATCACATTTCCATCAGTCTCTACTTCAATTCAATTCAATTTTATTTATATAGCGCCAAATCACAACAAAAGTCACCTCAAGGCGCTTCATAGATACAGCGAAAAACCCAACCATCACATGACCCCCTATGAGCAGCACTTTGGCGACAGTGGGAAGGAAAAACTCCCTTTTAACAGGAAGAAACCTCCAGCAGAACTTCAATGGAAGAGTAGGAATGTGGGAGTTCTTGTTCAGCTGTATGTAACCCAGTCTGCTGCTGCTGGTGTGCCTGCTCACTTTCACAGTACTATTAATCATTACAATGTTTACAATAGTTTGCAAATGTTGCTGAAACATTTTACAATATCAAGAGTGAGAGTACACACAGGCGCACAGGTATGTTTGCTGAGACGAAGCAGCAGCAACACTGGCCTCTTTCATCTTCTACCTGCTTTTCATCCACTTTTCCTTTACTCCGTCTGATCTTTCACACTCTTCTCCTTACTTTATGCTTTCTTTTCCATTCAGCCGTCATCTCTCCGTAAGAAGAGGTCATTAAAAGAACTAAAATGCTTGTCATTAATCATATTCAGTCATTTGCAGAATTATACCTTGAACTAGTTCACATATATATTTAGATGAGCCATTTCCAACAGTAACCTAAGAGATACTTGTAGGCGGAAGAAGGAAGACAGCAAAGATGGGAGGACCAACTTGATCAATCATAAACAGTTAGCACAGAGTGCACACTTGTTTTACAAGGAACAAAGGTCACTCGTACGCTGACTGCGTGAGAGTAACACAGGACTAAAGGTTCACCTTAGTGCGTGTAGAAGAACAGGTAAGATTCTTCTGCTACTTTTCATTAGTAAAAGATGATTACACAACAAGTATAAAGAGAAACAGTGTGAAAACCAGACAGGAATTGTGATTGTGAGACGCAGAAGTGCGAGGTTAGGCAGCAGCCACGTTTCTACACGTCTCCTTTAAAAGAAGACGTGCGCTGAAGTTTCTTTTCTCTGTAAGACGTGAAAAAGACACTCCAGCATCAGTGTGCACTCACTCCCTCACACGGTGCTTTATCTCTACTGTACTCTGACCTCGGGCTCATGCTGCAAAGTGCCCGATTTCTCAGTTCACTGCACATACAAAGAATTCACATAGAAATATGAGGGCATAATGTTTTCTGTTAATGGAGTCCAACGCTGAGTCGTATGTTTAAAGAGGAACATGACGTGCAATGATGGGTAATGTTTTTATCCTCAGGTTAGATGGCTTAATAGCTCCCGACTCTAAAGGGTATTTTCATCAGATTCTGAACAGTTGTTTTCCTTCTGCTCTTTGTGATGTCAGTGAGAACAGGTACAGTCATGTCAGCGAGCTGTGCTCCGCCTACCTGCTGTTTGAATCAAACACTTTAAACAGAATGTTGTAAAGCCTCAAGCTGTCACCATGCTGCTGTTTGGTAACAGGCACACACGGACGTGGTGGTAAAGTTTTATCCTGCTTTTTGATTCTAAGGGGCCATCATTGAAAAATCAGTGTAGTCTTGAGACTATCAGCTTATCGTGAAAGTGATAATAAGGTCAGTGATCAAGAGACGCAAGCACTGTTTTACTGTCACCATATATTAGACTTTCTGCAGCACCCCCTGCTGGCCATTACTTAGAATGCACATTTATGGCACTTTGTATCACTCGTAGTATTTGTGAGTATTTGTCCTCATGACATGCTGTGCTTAGTGTAAACATTGGCCAATACTTATTTACAAAATCTTGTCTCACACTTTTAACCCCTGCACACTTTTCACAGCATACACTGAGATTTTGCACCTCTTTGTGGTCTTCAGGTGCTACCGTGTCACGCAACCTTGTTTTTAAGAGGCACCGCCAATCCAAAGAACGCTGGCTTAAAGGGGGAGGAGCTAAACATGTATTTCAGAAAATACATTTTACTGACAGGCTAAATAACTGTAACTTATGCAAACCTTGTGTATAAATGGAGTTGATGTTAGTCAGATTATTTTAGTCCAACTACATAATTTGCAACCGTCGATATCTGTGCCGTAGTAACGCTTTTTCAATCAAAAAGCTGAATTCTACCAGGCAGAAAATGAATTAATTACTGGTTTTGTTAAGAAATGAGCGTGTTTTCTCTGTCACGTGTTGGTTACAGGACTTTGTATCCATTTCCTTTCAGTGTGGTGTGATGGAGAGGTGCTGGCAGCCTCTCCTCCTGCTGTGGCTCACTGCAGGGCTAGTGAAAAATAATGAGACAGTGAATTGTTCCTGTTCCACCCATCAGCTGACAGCAAACTTCACCAACAAACATCTTCAAGTCATCCCTGAAAACTCTGAAAATGTAAATGTTACCAAACTGATGATTGAAGGGAACCTAATTACTCTGAATAACACGGACCAGCAAGCACTAGCTAGCTATCCCAGCCTGGTAGAGCTTCACTTGGATGCTAACTGGATCACTGCTATTCCAGCCAAATACTTCTCTGTGGTACCAAACCTCAGAGTGCTGTCTCTCGCCAGAAACAACATCAGCAGGTCAGTAGGCTAGCAAAGTCTAACTTCTAGCTAAATGCTAGTTAGCTGCTTTAAGTATACTGTGTGTTAAACACCAACCATTAAACTGGTTTGATTTTGATATTGGTGCATACTTGTTAAAACTTACTACTGTTGCATGTTAGCAATATATCTAAGTACAGTGTGGTATGTAATCAAGTGTAATATAATTCTGCTGTGCTGTTTTTTGTAGCCTTGACCCTCAGGCTTTCAGTGACCTGGAGGTCCTGACAGAGTTGGACCTGACCCACAACTTGCTAACAAGCCTCCCTGCACAGCTGATCAGTGGGCTGAACAAGTTACAGGTAAAACAAGCATTTCAAAAAGAATCTGCTAACTTAGAGTTTGGTTAGAACTAATCTAGACATGACATACATAAAGAAATGCATGCATGTGTATGGGGATTTACGGCTGCACATGTAAGCGTTTCCTGTACAGGATGTGTTATTATTTCATTTACCTCGCTCTGTCTGGTCCCATCAGGTACTGAACCTACAGGGAAACCCCTGGAATTGTTCCTGTCCACTGCTGACCATCATTGGACAGATCGATGCAGCAAATGTTACCATGGGTAGTAGTTTTCATCACACAGTTTTAAATGTTGGCTGACCTGTGACCCTTTCTGGGAGCTAATGAGTCAATGACAGCAGTTTGAAAACTATAAACACTGCTCAAAAAGAGAAAGGAACACAAACACAGTTCATGAGTGTGCTGAGGACACGTGACACATGTGAAAGGGTCTGGAGCAGCTGTAGAGAACGTTATGCTGCCTGTAACATCGTTCGGCATGACCAGATTGGTGGTGGGTCAGGAATGGTCTGG